AGCGAAGTCGTTTCCAAATCACCTCTCGATCGACGCACACATATATATGTGTGTGTATTGACTGAACAGCTCTACAATACAACCATTGCCATTTTAGCCAGATAAATGTAAGTGGACAGTGTTATTCTGTCTTAATCCGTTATTTAAACAAAGTTAGGACAAACAAACATTGGTACAGAATAAACACATGGGTCCATTTTATTTCGTTGGTTCTTCTTATCAGCTGTCTACAGTTTTTTTTAATACTCCATAAAATTAATTATAATACAACATACATTATAATACAACCTTAACATAGACTTTTTCATCACGATTCGATCCTCGAGTAAGCCAGGATTGTTGTTATCAGAAAGTCAAAGGAACTAAGCATTAGGATGATATTGCTATTACTGTTGTCCCCTTCGGTTCTGAGTGGAACATATAAGGCTTCAACTACACATATTATACTTTGTTCTATTTTTTACGGTTCACTTTGGCTGGTCACACGATTGTGTACAGTCTCTCATCCTCTCCGGCCCACACGATCTCGTCCATGTCACCTTTGATGTGACAACCTGCTCGTCGTTTCCCATTCGGGTTCAACTCGAGTGACAACCTCATGTACGATGTCATTCGACAGCTGCCTCAGTGTGTGCAGTCTATCACTGTGTTGTTGAGTAATATTGTCATGCTAGTGAGGTGGATATTCTATGGCGTATTGACATCAGTGGTTCTCTAACTGATGTCAGCTCATGATGAAATCCTCCAACTAATTGAACAAAATTCCTACAAAAATCAATACTTGAAAATCTCTCTGATGATGCACACTAGAAACTGGCCCTATTCAGGTGGATAGTTACCTGGGGTTCTAGTGGAAAGCCGTGACCAGTAGGATACAGCAGGTTGAAGGTGAGGATAGTTACCCATCGAAGAAGACATTGAGAAGTGGTCACGCTATGTTGTGCATAAATTGACAGAAGTTAGAATTCATGGACTGGCCATTGGAATGGGTCCCAGTGAGTAGCTTAATGGTCTACGAGCTCACCATGTAATCAAAGCTCCTGGATTCTAACCGTAGTGGGTGAGTCTGTCTGTTTTCGACATAGAACTTTGCACAAATGTGCGGAAGTTCAAGTCGCCACACTCCGTGTAGCACGCGAAGCAAGAGAAGAAAATACAAGAAAAGCATAATAGAAACAGTGAGCAGAGGTGTGAGACAAAGGAAGAGTAATAACGAAGAACAAAACAGTTTCATTGAAGATCATAAGTCACAGGGAGTGGATGCATCTGCACTAGCCACTGAGAACGATTTTGAGCCATGTCACCAATTGTTTCCAACCATAGATTTTTACCGTCCCGAGGACCCCAGCCTGGAAGTCTACACCTTCCTACGTAGCTAAGACCAACTGTTGTGGATTTCATTGACTGATGCCAAGTTTTTGTTTGACCGCTGCTAGCTTTTTTCCAGCCTGACCCTATATCCGCTAACATAGCTCGTCGAGGGAGGCGATGACTTGGCATACGTAACACATGTCCTAACCATCTCAGTCTTTGTAGCTTCACGACTTCGTCGATTGATTTCCCCTGTTTACCTAGAACTCTACGCCTAACCTCCATGTTGCTCACCTTATTATGCCACTTTACACGGGAAATAGAACGCAGGCACCTATGATCAAAGGCAGCTAGTGTTTTCATGTCTTCCACTCTCAGTGGCCAGGTCTCACAGCTGGCCATAAAGGAGGACGGAGCGGACTGATGAGCAGTACACACGCCCTTTGGTTGATAGTCGAACATCTTGTCTACGCCAGAGTCGGCGTAAACTAACAAATGCGAAACGAGCCCCTTGTATTCGTGCTGAGATTTCGTCAGAGATCAGCCCGTTGGGGCTGATGTGAGTACTGCTGAACAGTCTCAAAACAGGATGAAACAGTTGTCCAGTATTCCCAGGCGTTCCGAGTGCAACATAGGGCTTCATGTACGAGCTTTGAAGTTTCCGTAGCAGTGGTGTTTTTTTTCTTTTTACGGGGTAGAGTTACTAACCTCACGCCGCTGAACCACGTACATGGTCGAACAGCATCCTACCGTTGACCCACCGACGCACTCGTTGGGGAATGGGATATACAAATACTCGAAGATGATGAAACTGACTAGTAGTGACACAGTATATATATATATATATATCACAAATTAGTAGAAGTTAGAATTCGTAAGTCACTTTGGCGGTTATCTTAGGTTACTTAGGTTACCAGATACGTTCATCATTACATTGCATCTTATTTCTCATGTTTATATTGTTTTAATCTATTAAAGTATGATTTCTAATGGTGTCATTTACTCTCGCGAGTATTTGAAATGTTTATGACCTGGTGGTTTTGTTAGTTTTTACTAAACTTGGTTAAAAGCATAATTGTGGACAGCAAAAACGTATTCCAATGCATGAGATAACACTGTTCTTGAGTTATGTCCTTGGGTCTCATGACATTTCTTTGAAGGAAACGAAGAAATATCATTAGAGATTGGTGGTTTTTTGCTTCAGACTAGACGGCATTGTCTCAAGCGACCTACTGTCAATTAATATTTTCCTTGAAGATCCTGGACGAAGAAAGAACTATTATGCAATAGATTCTGTTGAAAATTCTGTACATTATATAACCACTATCCAGAATAGATCTATTATTATTGTATTCCAACTGAGTATCTGAATGGTCAGTAATCTGTCCTGATGACATTCAGGTCCTCAGTTCTATTCTTGGTGAGATCATGAGTGCATACTATTGAAAAGTCTCATACCAGGATGAGGCAGCTGCATCCAGTGCTCTATGGGTTTTCAGTAGTTTTTTAACCAATGTCATTGCTTAGCGAAATGTAACTGGAATTTCAATTATCAGAGCCAACATCATTTAGGGGGATCAGAAGCGTTACGTAACAGCTGTCTCGTCCTATTATAGGACTGCCCACTACTGTGAACTCCATATCTCTCCTTGGATGGAGCCGATGACCTTTATTTTGTGAAACCAAGCTCCTTGACCATTCCGTTACTTGTGCTCGGATTCAATGACTCCTGCATTCTAATGTTGTCAACTGGTGGTGGAATAGCGCAACATTCGGTAACACTTTTAGTGAGTGCATCAATTTCACCGTGAAATGGTGGAGCCCACTGCTCATGACTTCTCACCACATCCTCAATAACATCCGCCAGGTAGCCATCACTGAGCTAAACAGACAGATGTGCCGATTATAAGATTCTTAAGGATTTGGATTGAATGAATCGTCAGCGAGCTTGGACTCGTTTTCTGTCTGAAGGTCCCGAATTCGATCCCTGGTGTCCTAAAATAGGACGAAACAGCATTCCAGTGTACTGTCTGGTTAATTCCTCAGATCTGTATTTAGTTTACGTTATGGGCATGAAATGACATCATTGGACAAATTGTTTAGCCTTGAGCCAATCGCCAACCACAATTCGAACAATTTATTGTCCTCTAACCTAGACAACCTTTATTATGGCTAAGGATGCATAAATATACTAATAAAGGTACGTTACCAAGTCTCTTATCTTCTCCTGTCATACCGGTAGAATTCCGACACTCATTTCATCAGTAAATGATGAAATTTACATGGAACTCACGAAGGAAGGAGCCTTATAAATGATATAGAACACCCAATGGCCATTGATTGTCACCCTGTGCTGGTGAAATGTTTGGAAAATCACAACTCAGGTATAATGAGTCATGATCGTGTGGGAAGGCGCGTCTAATTCTTAGTTTTTTACAAGTGTCTTACGTTAAACCCCTCCAAATGCCAAACGGTCAATTTCACCTTTAGGCATAAGTTTGACCTAAATAAACTGGTTAGCACTCACGAGATGTGCAACATAGATGGCACTGAAATAGAAACCAAGTCAGAAATTAAATACCTAGGCGTCATTCTATCTACTGATCTTTCCTGGTCGTCTCATATCTTGATGATTTCTAAGAAAATATTCCTTCTTACCTTCTACATCAAGAAGTTAAGACATTCTGGAATAACCCAACCCTTACTCCTACAATTTGTTAGCTCTCGCATTCTGCCTATTATTCTCTATTGTTCCCCCTTAGTTTTTCCAGAGCTACTGAAGAAAGACTATGTCTTATTACACAGGATGTTAAAGGTTGTCAGCAGGGTAAGCCACAGGGTGCCACTTAACCAGCTTGTTAATATTCTGGTTGACAGGCACTTGGACTCATGTGAAAAATGGGCTAAATGCATTCTATCTATCTAACTCACACTACTCACACTCTTCATTCACAACTATCCCCTTGTTGTATCTCATCAGGTAGGACCAGAAGCCTATATAGAAAACTATATATGCTCGCACTAGCAAGTACGCAAACTCAACCATATCCTACTTAGCTCGTGTTCTGTGCGATAAAGAAAGCATTAGGTGTGATAGGTATAACTTATTAAATAGTCATTAGAACAACTGGATCTCGTCTTTCCAACTCATATCATTTATGGGTACAACCTTTTCTTTCTTTCTTTTCCTTTTATCTGTTTTTTGTTGTTATGTGGTCCTTTGTTTCTCTCTTCCTTACAAAATCTACTTAAAACATTCTTCTTCGTTCTTTCACACTCTGTATATCTCGACCTTTTTGTTACCACTTACGACAGTAAATATGCTAGTAGTATCTACTTTTCTAACACCTTCAAACATTCTGTTCACTTTTGGCTTTGCTACCGACATGCCAATATGTTGTCGTCATAATGAACTGAGATTTCCTTAATCTATGTAGAATTTTCTTTATTGATAATGTACTAACTGGATGCAATAGTGTAGTGAAATGCTGAGAATTCCATTCTGTGTATCACAAGTACACTGTTTTGGAGTAAAGCAAATTATTATTATTATTATTACTAATATTATTATTATGTTTATTATTAAAGTTTCATTTTGCATTTGCCATTAGTAATTGAACCTTTTTGCTTTATTTCTTGTTTATGCTCCTCGTCCCCTCACCCTTCTGCTTCCGTTTCATTGTAACCAGCGATAATGGACCACACGATGGCAGTTTAACATCTGATCAATTACTAGACGGTATTCGACTGCTAACTAAGGCATTGAAACAAGCCTTTCCCGTGGATGAAGTTTATCTTCTACCTGTTTTGGGCAATCATGATGTTATTCCAGCGAATGATATGGAAGTCACTGTGAATAGTCCTTCACGTACTGCTTGGTGTCATCAACTTGGTGAGCAGAAAGATCTATGGGGTGAATGGATTAATCATCGTCAGAAACATTTGATGTCGTCAGTATCACAGCAAAATTCATCGAAATATCCTACAGCTAATTTCTCACAGAGTAAGTAATTGGTGCTTATTGATTGGTTGGTTGTTTTCTCCTCTCCCCCTTATTGTTTTGTTCATTTTTGAATAACTACCCTTTATCATACCATTTGGAACTCGTCAACTGTTGATGTGTCTATTCCGTGGTGAGAGTGATGATGTTCCCACTGAAACTACCCATAGCTCCTGGTGTCAAAGTGTTGTTCATTGGACGTCGAAGGCCATGAGGCGAGCACTGATCAAGACACTTCTAATGCTCAAACTTACTCAACCGTGTAAAAGATTATGCAGAGTTGTCATATGAAGTGTTGACAACCAGTGATGTCCGTCAGCGATATCTACTGTCCTCATTTCTGTCTAATTTCATCATAGATATAGTGATGAAACTAACCTTAATTAACATCAGTGACTTAGGCTTACTGCATAGATTTACGTCACAAAATTTCAACTCTAAAGATAGGGCTTCTAGTTGTAAGGTAAACAAGCTGATCGAGGAGTGATTGAAAACAAATTTATTGGGGTCGACTTCCTCTTCATTTCGACCTATTTGAGGCTCCTGTTAAATTCAGATTTAACATCCTCAGCTCGTTTGTTTTGCACCAAAATCACGTATTCATTAAACGATTCTCTTTCACTTGATGATAGTTCGGAAAGAGCAGAATACTTCTGTGATGTATTTCTCTGTAACTCGAATAAACACGAGCTAACAGAAACAATGAGGTTTTTTGTGTGACGTTGGAGAGTTTTAGAATTGGGATAAATGTGATGTCTTCGGAGTGCCTTCCAGAACCACTTCGGATATCGATGATTCTTAATGCAGTCTTCGTAGAAGTCCAATTTTGCATTCATTTCGGCAAGTTTGACAGAGTAATGCAGAAACCCATTGAGTTCCTTCACTGTCATAGGTTCCTTGCATTTTTTCAGGTCGTGGAAAATACCCATTGGAATATTAGATTGAAAAGAACAAGACGATTGACTTGTTATAAGGCAAGTGTCTTATTGACTTAGAGTGTGACGATGGTATAATACTTTCATGGGGGGGGCGGTGATAAAATCTACAGTCTTCAGAATACCCTGAGCGAAAATCTTCGAATGTTTGGTTGTACGATTCCCTCCTGTCAAATGTAAGATGATGCTGCAGGACTCGACTACACTGACTCTTGCCTAACTTAAAAATAAGGGGCAAAGTAGTGGAGCTTGTTAACCACTTCACTTATTTCGGAAGTTACTTACTTTACTTTACTTCGGCTATCTCCTACGGGAGGATGAGCCGGCTTCATGAATATCTCGAATCATCGCTACTCAGGCGCGGCGATCTGATGCAAGGTTTTGCGACAGGGTTATCCAATTCTTGTTCCACAGACGGAGTCCGTAGACGGTTTGTAGCCCCAGCCCGGGCACTCCATATCAGCCTTGACTGTACCAAGCCATGTTTTCAGCTGTCCACCCCTGCGACATCGCCAAGATGGAAATGGCGGGGGATTTAAAACTGATTTGACCAGATCGTCATCTAGTCGGCGCAGAACATGGCCAAACCACCGAAGGCGACGTTGTTGGACCAGTATTGGAATTTGGTTGATGGTGTAGCAACGACGACGACGCACTTTGAGAGTTGTTTGTAAGAGAGTTCATGAAGTTTCATGGGAATTAGGTACGAGTGATGTTCCCAGCATCGCTCGGCCTTTTGTTTGAGAGTGCAGCTCTAGCCTTTACACAACCAAGTGTGACCTACAAGGCAGTAGGAGTGGAGTAGGGAGTCCACTATCCATTGGCAGCCGGTGACCGGAGTCCGATTCATACATCAGTAAATTCCGCTCGTTTAAGTGTTTGGCTTGTGAGGATTTGGTTGGTTGGTTTCGTGATGGCTGAAATTGGATTACGGTGGAGCTACTTCACTACGCCTTTTTGAATGGGGCCAGACATCCAGGGCATCCAATAAGCCCTTTGTCCATACGTCTGCCGGTGAGCTCCGGTGAGCTTCATACGCCAGTCGTTGGAGGTTTGGAATCAGGGTTTATCCATCTCTCGGAAGTTACTTTAAGTCAGCCAACCGTGACGTAAGGAGGTATAGTCTATGTGATTGATTGGAGTCCTCATGATGGTAAGTACCAATGAAGGCTGGCGAAAATTGGTGATATGGATGGATGGCTAACTGGTGAAGATGCATTCACTTTTTGTGATTTGTCATCATATCCAGTAGAACTCTATCTTTCTTCCATATGACTACTATTCTTTTTCCCTGAGTCACACTTGTGTTTATTATCTCTATTTTGTTGAATTTGCCTTTACTGTCTTCTCTTGCGTTGAGTGTGGTAGATGAAGGGAGATTGGGAACTCAAAGTGCTGTGTATCTGTGGAGAGTTATATGTTGAAACTAGTTAGTCAGTGAGGCATTGGTTTATAGTAGCGCTATACCTCACGTTATAAAAGTACAAAACTGAGTCATACATATCGAATGAAGGCTGAGTATGCTACGGAACAGCCTATTGGTGAGAGAGCAGCGCTTCTACCAATTTGTGATATTAGCGCGAACACTAAGCAATGTCATAGGCGGGAAATCCAACCTCACTGCGGACTGGATGGAACCTTCGTTTTGTATCACTTCGTTGTCACATTCGAAAACAAACCTAGTTCTTAGAAATCAACTCTTGAAAATTAATCTGACGCTCTCTAGTGACGTGCGCTACAGGACAGAGTTTCCTTGGGGTTCTAGTGATAAGTCGTGACCAGTTAGGTTCATCCCACCGATGACATGGGTTGGTAATCACGCTAAAATCACGAATTGATAGAAGTTAGAATTTATAACCTGGCCACTGAATCGAAGCCCAGTGGCTGATGAATGGTCTACGAGCCTACCTTGTAGCCGGAAAGTCCTGGATTCGATCTCTTGTAGTGTTGGTGTGTGTACTGCCGATGATTTCCACTGTAGGCAGGTGAAACAGCTGTCCACTACTCCCAGTTGTGGTTTTCAATGGTTCTTTAACTTATCTGTGGTTAAACTTCTTAAATAGTTAATTTTTGTCCTTTCCAACACACCACCCCCACCATCATCATCCATCCACTCACACGTCGTCACCTTCTCACGCCTTCTATAATGATAAGTAGATATACACACTTTTTATTCTTCATACAACATTCTTTGCGTAATTGAAGAAATTTTCCGGACGTGACTGTATGTATATAAGTGCATATATATAAATGCTTTATAGATTGATAGCATACACCCACACACACTCACACTCACGCACACAAACACTGACATTATACACAAACCACATGGCATGTGATAGAACAATAAAAAAATGAAATAAAAAGTTTCCTCATAAATAATAATAATAATAATAATAATAAATAATAGAAAATGAAATACGGGTTAAGGAAATAAAGCAACAGAGAGAGAGAGAGAGAGAGAAATAGCAAGAAGAAACGAAAAAGGCATAAATAATAACAATAAAGAACCAATATGTATTAATGGAAGAAGTCATTCACACACACACACGCACTCAGAGAGAGAGAGAGAGAGAGAGAAACAAAAAGTGCGCCGATAACAAACAATACGTGAATTCAAACAGACAATATTCAATTCAATATAACAAACAAACAAGCAAGAAAAGACAAAAGACAAAACAGCAAGTTAACGAAAGAAAAGTAAGCAGAAGTATTTAATTGGTGAATGGTAACTAGCAGTGGAATCCAGCCAGGATGATGATGATGATGATGATGTACATTTCGTCCTATTTGGGACTTGACTCCAGTTTGGGGCTCTTCAGCTAGGACGAAACAGCTGTCCAGTACTCCTAACTGGTTTTCCAATGGTTCTCTAACTGATGTCAGCTCATGATGAAATCCTATGACGAATTAACCAAATCCCTACAAACCGATACTTGTATGGCAACATATGTTCAATGCCTGCCTAGACAACACATACTGATGACGTCATAGTTGAAGTTTATTCCGTAGGATGATAAAAAAGCTGTGGGATGACAACAACAACAACAACAACGCCAGAATAGTCAGTCAGAGATGTACATATTCTTCATTATTTCTATACCGAATAGAAATAAAAATCTGCGCAAGATATAACTGGCTGACTGTCCTGACTTACTAGTTTTCAACATAGAACTTTCCAGTGATGTGTAATAATTCCAGTTCCCACTTTGCTTTCATCTACCACACGCAACGCAAGAGAAGAAAGAAAAGGAAGATTCAACAAAGGAGAGATAATAAACATAAGTGTGAATGAGGGAAAAATAGTAGTAGTCATATGAAAGAAGAATAGAGTTCTACTGGATATGAGGACAATTGACAAAGAGCCGGGGTCATTGACAACGATGAGTTTGAGTCACATCACTAATTGTCGCCAGACAATGCTTCTTAGTATGTCAACGATCCCAACGATGAAGCCTACACCTCCCTACTTGGAGGCTGGCTTAAACTGAACTGTTGTGGACTTGATTGACTGATGAAGCCCAATTTTGGTTTGACCACCACCACCACCACCGACGATCGTGTATCAGCAGCTAACATTACCTGTCGGTCAAGGAAGGCAATTAATTGCTAGGAGGTATGCACAACACACGTCCTAACCATCTCACTCAATCGATGTAACAACCTCACAATCTCATGGAGTGATATTTCCTCCTTATCTAGCATTTGACCGATGATGCCTCACCAACAACTCAATATTAATCACCATGTCGTACCGTCTAACATGATGGAACGTAGATAGAACGCAGACACCTATGATGAAAGACGGCTAGCTAGCCAGCATTTTCATGTCTTCCACTTTCAATGGTGGTGCTTCAGTCACAATGATAAAAGAAAACAAAGTGCGCACCAGAGATAACGTAATTCAGGAAATGCCAAATGAGGCTTTTCTATCCGTGGTGAGATTTCTCCACTGATGAACCCACTGGGCCCGGCTGAAGTAACTTCCGAATTAAGTGAAGTAGTCAACAAGCTCCACTGCTTCACTCCTTATCTTTAAGTTAGGTAGGAGTCGGTATAGTCGATTCC